CAGAGCCCTGAAGGTACCAGAGCCCTGAAGGTACCAGAGCCCTGAAGGTACCAGAACCCTGAAGGTACCAGAGCCCCGAGGGTACCAGAGCCCCGAGGGTACCAGAGCCCCGAAGGTACCAGAGCCCTGAGGGTACCAGAGCCCCGAAGGTACCAGAACCCTGAGGGTACCAGAGCCCCGAGGGTACCAGAGCCCCGAAGGTACCAGAGCCCCGAAGGTTCCAGAGCCCCGAAGGTACCAGAGCCCAGAGGGTACCAGAGCCCCGAGGGTACCAGAGCCCCGAAGGTACCAGAACCCCGAAGGTTCCAGAGCCCAGAAGGTTCCAGAGCCCCGAAGGTACCAGAGCCCAGAGGGTACCAGAGCCCCGAGGGTACCAGAGCCCTGAAGGTACCAGAACCCTGAGGGTACCAGAGCCCCGAGGGTACCAGAGCCCCGAAGGTACCAGAGCCCCGAAGGTACCAGAGCCCCGAAGGTACCAGAGCCCAGAGGGTACCAGAGCCCCGAAGGTACCAGAGCGGCCCCGAAGGTTCCAGAGCCCCGAAGGTTCCAGAGCCCCGAAGGTACCAGAACTCTGAAGGTACCAGAGCCCTGAAACAGTTTAAACTGCAGTGAACAGAGCTGGGTACCAGTACCACTTCTCTAAACTGATTTGATTTTAAATCATAAAGTTCAGAATTGATTAATCAGTTAAATTTAATAAAAATGTTAAATCACCAGTTTTTTCTCTTCAACAGACAACAGGTTTTAAAAACAAACTTCTAAATTAAACAGTTTAATCTTGAAAGAAAACTGAAGTTTTAAAGTAAAAAGAACTGCAGGTGTTGTTGGACGTGTTCATTTTGAAGTAATTAATAATTATTTTGATAAATAATGATGGAATAAGGCTACAGGAGAAGAGGTGGATTAATATAAATATTTCTGCCCACTCCTTTACAGCGTATAAAAACTGTTTATTTGTCATCATGTTTCTGTTACTGTTCTGTTATTAAACTTCATACATATAAAACTTATTAAACAACTACAAAATGTCATCACTGTGATTTCATTAAACCTTTCTTAAAGTTTAAAAATCATAATATTGGTAACCAAACTAAATGATTTAGTTAGAATGTGGTCTTTAACAGGTTTAAACAGGCTGAGAACAGTTCAGTCACATGTTTACTTACAGTTTGGTCTGAGCTGCTAACGAGCTGCTCGTTAACCTCACCTCGTTTCCTGGACCATGTAGGAGCAGAAATCTTTACAAACACAAGTCTCCTGGTCTCTGTTGTCTTTACGTTCTGCTGAGTCAGCTGCAACTTTAATGATTCTTTAGTTTCTGTTGTTTTCATCCAGATAACTGGTTATCTAAAGCTAACGTTAGCGCTGAACATCAACCAGAGGTAAATATATGGCAAGCCAGGAGGGACAAAATATAGAAACACACCTCAGACGTACGTACAAGACAGCATGTGGAAGAATGGATGTCATGATCAGTTTTACCTCATTTAAATTAAATCAATACAAGATGAATTAAATCATTTTTACCCAGCTCTAGAAGTGAAACTGTGGAAGAACGGGACGAGACGGGTATTTATACACGTGTACTAAGAACATGGTTATTAATAATAATAATAATAATATAGAAACACTGAAAATCAGTTTTTAATGAAGTGTGTATTATTTAAAACTAATGTGAGAGAAAAGGTGGACTGATGCTAGCTCACCTTGGTGTTCATGTTTTGAGAGAACTCCAGGATGGTGTCCACTCGTGTCCATGCGTCTGGGTGCTCTTTGAGGTGCGTCAACACTTCCTGGGCCATTCTTTGCTGCAACACAAATTTAACCTTAACAGTGTGACATTAAAGCACAGATTACACACATTTAGTAGCAGCGTAGCACAAAGATTGTATTAAAGCGGGACAGAAAAAGCACCAACACACCTGAGGTCCCACCCCATGGTACAGGCAGTTCACCACGTTGTCCAGTAGGTTGATATCTAACTTCTGGTTGAAGTCCAGCAGCTGCTGTGCTGTGTGGTCAGCTAACATTGTCATTACTGCTGGCATAGAGTTCTGCAACAAGGACAGCACAGGGACAAATGACTGCAGCTTACAACTAATGTGTTTGTATGACAAACATGAGCTGGACCAGCCTGTCTACTGGAATTATAAAGTTAAGGTTTATAAGAAGTTAAACATGTGATGTCACTGGTTAAAGTGACATCACATTACATTTACCTGCAACAAGTTGCTTCAGATTCTGGTTTATTATATTTAATTTAATCTAACTCAGGTTTGGTTCAGTTGTAATAAACTTCACCTGTTTGAATGTAAATTAGATAACAGTGGTCAGAAGACAAAAAGAGACATGGGTGTAAACAATAAACAGTAAATAAACCATAAAAACTGTTTGCTCATGTAGTTTAAATAAGCAGGTTTTTAACTCAGGAGTGAAAGGAGCACGTGCTGAACCTGGTCAAGTTGTTTACTTGTGTCACATGATTAAAGTCACAATCAGACATTTGGACACATGTTGTGTTAGCCGGACTCACACTGCTGTAAACAGACACGAGGCTAATATTAGCATCCAGGCTAGCTGTTAGCATGTAGCAGCAGGTCACTGATGCTCCTTCCTGTTCCCCCCCCCCCCCCCCCCCCCCAGGATGGAGCTGAAGTCTGACTGCAGAGCAGTGAGTCTGCAGCTGATTATTACAACATTTACACTTTATTCATCTATAAACATCATTATTAGCTTCACTGCAGGCTGCTTTATGTCCACAAACATTCAATCATTACTTAGTAAACCTTTGGTAAACTTTAACTTTTATCATCAACTTTAATCAACTCTGAGACTAACTGTGGCTAACAGCAGCAGCTAACTCCTCTGATGATGCTAAAGTCTGAATTAACCTGTTTTAACCCGATCAACACCCAGAAACACTGCGTTCATTCAGGGCACGTGAAGCCAGGCTCAGGTGTGTGCTTCAGGTACCTACCTGCAGTCCGAGGCTTGACCTACAACACAGTCTGCAGGTAGAGTGGCAGCAGAATAGAGTGGCAGCAGAATAGAGTGGCAGCAGAATAGAGTGGCAGCAGAAGCTCACAGGACAGTTTCACAGAAAAGCTTTGCTAGGAGCAGGACTGGTTCTGGATCCTCGGTCCAAGCTTTGCTAGGAGCAGGACTGGTTCTGGATCCTCGGTCCAGCTCAGCTCTCAGGCTCAATAAACTAAAGTCTCACGGAAAAGGTTCTGCTCTGCGGCTCCGGTCCATTTTACGGAACAAAGTAAGCGGATGAACGGATGAATCCGTCAGTCTTCAGGGTTTCCAGCGGGGCGCTGAGGCTCGTGTGCCCGACTCTGTCCTCTTTCAGCCAACTAACACTCAACCGGTTGAAACCGGTTCAGACTGGGAGATTCCATCTCGGTTTAGTTTTCAGCCGATGGCGCCGCGTAAAGTTTGGACCGTGGTCCCGCCCACTCTGAGCGCTGATTGGACACGGTTCTGCTGGAGCCTTCCTACCTGGTGTCCCATTGGCCGGACGGCCTGTCAATCTTTTTCAATTCGCTCACGCGCCCACGCGACAGTTGCCTGAAGAGAAAAAGAGGGCAGACTCCGTGCAGAGTGGACTTCTTCATGATGGCGCTTTTACAACAACTCCTCTTATATTTACACAGTCATCCTCACGTGGGACACGCTGCCGCTTCCTGCACGTGCTGCTGACCGGGAGCAGAGGCGACGACCTGAATAATTAGTAACGAGTTAATTCAGAGTGAAACAGAGCAGCTGATGACAGGAAGCTCAGTGCCATTCATCTGCTGGTAATTTTCCACCAGCCACGAGTGGGCGTGGCCACAGGGACATGGAGGCGCGTTAGAGAAGCTTCAGGAGTGAAGTGGAGGTCCTGCAGTGACAGTGAGGAACAGGAGCAGCAAACACACGATGTGATGATGAACAACACACTGATTTTACACACTTTACACTCACAAACACTCCGCTGTCAACTCACTATGTGAAGCTGACGCGCTTTTTCCCTCCTCGCTGGTCACGTGGTGCAGCCAGGTTCTTAATGGAAAAATACTGGGATTTGGTGTGGAGCACAAATAGTACACAAGTCAGTCAGAAAGGCTGTTCAGACACTGTTTACCCAGCAACAATACCTACTGTTCACTCATGTCTGCTTGGTTATTCATATTTACACATCATCACAGAAATATATTTATGTTTGTCTGCTTTAAAAATACATCCTGACCAATAATCCTCAGCTTTTATAACTGAGTCCTGTTACTGTCAGAGTGGACAGCATGGTTACCTTTACTGGTCACATCCAGTCCTAAACCACTGGTTTCTGTCTGAGTCCTGTTACTGTCAGAGTGGACAGCATGGTTACCTTTCCTGGTCACATCCAGTCCCAAACCACTGGTTTCTGTCTGAGTCCTGTTACTGTCAGAGTGCACAGCATGGTTACCAGTACTGGTCACATCCAGTCCCAAACCACTGGTTTCTATCTGAGTCCAGTTACTGTCAGAGTGCAGAACATGGTTACCAGTACTGGTCACATCCAGTCCCAAACCACTGGTTTCTATCAGAGTCCTCCTTATTAATAACCTGTTACCAGTCTGGGTTTACTTCATCATTAGGTTAGGTTAGGTTAGATTAGTTTAGGTTAGATATGGGTTAATGTTAGGGTTAGTTTAGGTTATGTTAGTTTAGGTTAGATATAGGTTAATGTTAGGTTAGTTTAGATTAGTTTAGATTAGGTTAGTTTAGTTTAGGGTTAGTTTAGGTTAGGTTAGTTTAGGTTAGATATAGGTTAATGTTAGGTTAAGGTTAGGTTAGTTTAGGTTAGGTTAGATTAGTTTTGGTTAGGGTCAGCCATGGTTAGGTTAGTTTAGGTTAATTTAGGTTAGTTTAGGTCAGGTTATATTAGTTTTGTTAGGGTCAGCCACAGTTAGTTTAGATTAGTTTAGGTTAGTTTAGTTTAGAGTTAGTTTAGGTTAGGTTAGTTTAGGTTATGTTAGTTTATGTTAGATATAGGTTAATGTTAGGTTAAGGTTAGGTTAGTTTAGGTTAGGTTAGATTAGTTTTGGTTAGGGTCAGCCATGGTTAGGTTAGGTTAGTTTAGGTTAATTTAGGTTAGTTTAGGTCAGGTTATATTAGTTTTGTTAGGGTCAGCCACAGTTAGTTTAGATTAGTTTAGGTTAGTTTAGTTTAGAGTTAGTTTAGGTTAGGTTAGTTTAGGTTATGTTAGTTTATGTTAGATATAGGTTAATGTTAGGTTAGGTTAGATTAGTTTTGGTTAGGGTCAGCCATGGTTAGGTTAGGTTAGTTTAGGTTAATTTAGGTTAGGTTAGTTTAGATTAGCCACATGCTTACATCACTAACAGAAACTTTTTCGGAAAGTTATAATCAGTGAAAACTTGACAGACACTATATGTTTATCCAGGTGACAGGTGTATAAATTACCTGCGGTTCAGTGTACTGGGGTAACTTGTCACAGATATCCAGGTTAAACTGATAATTGTGTTGTTTTTAAACCTTTGAAACAACAGAAACTTTTTGAGGTCTACTTGATGCAGTATTTATTCCACATCACAGACGTGCTGACCATGTGGCAAACCAGGTAAGGGGTCTGTTCTTGAAGTGGCCTACAATCTGGGCCATCACATGGACGGCCTGGGMCTCGCCTGGTCAAGGGTTGTAGGGGTGAAAGGTAATGGGAGCCCCTCCCTCACAGGTCTGACTCGGTCCTGCTGAGGTCTACCCACACAGGTCCAGGTCCAGACCTTCCATTGAGTGGTCCTACCTGCTTCCAGCATGGTTCTTCTGGGCACCAGGAGGATTTCTCGTCAGCAGATTGGACACCGTTGGTTGACCATGGAGACATGTGACAGGATAAAACTGCTTCACCAGTTTTTAACTTGTTCMTCTGGTTCTGTAATGGAAGCTTTGTAAGTTTTCTCTGAACTATAGACTCAGCACCACCATGTCCATGTGTCCTCTGTTGTTGGGTGTCCCTACAAACTGACATCAGAGGAGTGTCAAGCAGCTTTTTACTGTCTTGTAGCACTTTGAAAATGTTCTTTATGAAAAGTGTTTACAAATTAAATCCACCTTTATTGATTACTGGTGATTTGCCACAGAGACCACCTAGAGTTGGACTAGAGGTGGGTCGCACTACAGTAAAATAAAAAACCCCATCAGGACCAAGTTGACTTGTTAGAATCCTGGAACCCTCTCAAACCTTTCTTCTGCCATCTAGTGGACAAAACAGGGACAGTTGTCATTACAGTGGCCCATTCATTTATTAATCCAGATTATAATCTCTCTGCTGACCTTCAGCTGCAGGCTGGTAATGAACCAGCTTCCTTACACACCTTCTCACCCCTTACTGTCCCTCACGCTCTGTTCCTCCATCTTCTTTGTGCTCCCAGGACTACACCTGCACCACAGGACCTTCTCCTGATCTGCCTCCACATCGGGGGGCTCCACGTTGGGGGGGCTCCATAGACCACACTATGCTTTAAAACAGGCCTGAAAACTTTTTTTACAAAATGCTTTGAGTGTTTTCCTTCCATTCTTTGTCTGCTCTTCCATCATTTTTCATCTGCTTTGTATTTAATGAACTCACTACAGTTAGTGCTTTTATTTGTATTTTAATGTCCTCACTATTATTTTGATTGTTTTTTTATTTCATGCATTACAAATAAAATCTCTTCTTATTACTACTTTATTGGTCCCAGAGGAGATGACAGGGTAAGGTCAGGTAATCAGTCCTGGCCCAGTCAGACTTTCAGTAAAACTGGTCCACTTCCAGTCCAGTATGGAGCTGAAGAGACTGGAGAAAAGATCAGCAGCAGTTCTGAAGAAGCTGATTTCTTTCAGCACAAGATAACTTCACTTTTATTTGAGTAGTTTTACTTTTGTGTCAACCGTAAAAAGTTTTCTTTAAACATTTTAAGATTGAACTTTTTAATTCACCACTTCAGTTTGCATTGCCATGACATTTCTAACAACAACTACATTTTGTTTTTGTTCTTTTGGAACCTTAAATTGTTCAGGCGTCATCCTGCTGTGTGTGAGCACAGCTGCAACAACATGCACCGAGCCGAGCTGCAGAGGTCCAGCTGATGGTGTGTGTCCAGTCAGGGTTGGCAGAGAACAGGAGGCGGGGCTACAGCTCAGCAGGAGGAGGGGCTACAGCTGTGCAGGAGGAGGGGCTACAGCTCAGCAGGAGGAGGGGCTACAGCTGAACAGGAGGCGGGGCTACAGCTGAACAGGAGGCGGGGCTACAGCTGAGCAGGAGGCGGGGCTACAGCTGAGCAGGAGGCGGGGCTACAGCTGAGCAGATGGAAAGAATGAAGAGATGATCAGAGCTGATGTTCAGCTTGGTGCTGCTCTCAGACACAGCCTGATGACCTCATCACAGCCTGATGACCTCATGATCTTCAGGTGGTTCTGATCTGAGCGGAGCGAAGTTTAGATCTGCAGAACCAGAGAAAGAAATAGGTACTGAGTGGGCCGTACAGTTGTGTGTGTGTGTGTGTGTGTGTGTGTGTGTACCTGGGTGTCTTCTCTGTATTCTGTTTGGCTTGAGAGGAGCTCCTGAACTGTGC